TTTAATAGATAGAGTGATTCTTAAGGAAGGTTTGTATGTATAATACATGCATATTGCACCCGTGCGAAGCCGGGGCGGGTCGCTAGTAAAATATATGCATACTTTTGTTCTGTACTATACTTAGATATGAATAATATTTATATGCATATTGTTCTAATGTGTATTATAAAAACATGTTTATAGGGAAAGTACAATGAATGTCAGTAGGCAGATCTATTGTGAATTAATTTACATAACTACAGAAAAGTCTTTGTAAACTGTGTACTTTCTGTTTCTAGACTGAAGTGGATATTATTGAAGAAATAGATGAATACCAGACATGGCCTGGCTGGTTGATCCTCGCTCTGCGAGTAGCAATCATGACTTGGTTCGTACTAGAACTTCGGTACACGATGATGTACGAACACAACATGCCAAAACTTAATTTCTTACTACACTTTGGCGCTTCAAGCCTCGTGTGGTTTGTTTATTTGCCGATTATAGCGCTCATAGCGCTACAGATCAGCCCTCTATGGAGGTTCAAGTTTTTATTAGGTGAGTTTCAATTTTTCACTATGTAATGAACAATTACATTAGAGTGTCTAATGTGAGTTTGTTTTACATTAACACGGCCGACCCGTTTATTACGTTCAGCGTTCTGATTGGGTGCTCCAAGCCTATCAACCAATCACAGAGCAGTAACGTTAACGTAAGAATAACTCTCGCTGATTACCGAATACTGAAAGGCTACTCAAATATCGTGCCATCTCAGTAATATTATAAGGAATTTGTAGTGACAGAACTACACTGAAGCGCGAAAAAATTGAGTGGCGTTTGAGTATTTGGATATGAGTACCCTGATCAACGAATTACATTCATTTAAATTATTTAGCTATTAGAAAGTAGGTTGTAGTATGAATAAGTAGTTATCACTCATTTGAATTGCACCTATTATTATTCAACAATATTCTTTCAAGTATTATACATAGGTATATTATTAATATTTTCTTATCAAATTAGTTATGGTCACAATTTAATGGTGAAACTTAATTATTTTTGACCATGTATTCACAATTATTATCAATATTATCCTTATATGACTAAGATAAGAAGTAAATCTGTGTTAAATCTGAATAAATTATTACGTAGTTGCATAAACCAACACTAATAGTGTAGATATTTCCGAATATGGGTAATTAACGAATTTATTTCCACTCAACATACCGTACGTAACGTAAGTATAATTACGTAAACTGACGCGCACGCAATTTACAGCTGTGGTCACTTGACTTTTAAATTTCAACCTTATAAACTAGGTGATAAGGTTGAAATTCGTCAATTGATCTTGTTAAACGTGGTTTATCTTTAATACAACTCGATATATACTAGAAATTATTGTTTCTTTTCCAGGGATCACATATTCAGCGGATTGTCTCGCTTTTTGTGTAATGTCACACTTGCTGTGGCCGACACGCTCAGAACAGTACTTATTACTAGCGCCCTCTGATTATACAGGTATGTATAAAATTTAATATTTGACTATACTTATTTCATCTGCAAAGTTGCTGGGCAACCGGCTGCTGTGTGACGTTTCGAAGGTTAGAATCCAGCACGGAACAATTCTTTGTGTGGGCCACAATTGTTTGTTTCGGATCTGGATCTGTACTATGTGACTTTGTATTGTAAACGCATCCATGACTCAGGAAAAATGACTAGGGTGTGTTAAAATTCCCCAAAGCACGTAATTATTAGTGTCCTTCCAAAAGTCGTTATTGATTAGTAATTTAATAACTAATGGGGAAAAAATATGGCAATCACGATTTCGCATTAAATCAAAAATTTTATTGGAAAATGAATAATTGTGATTTGAAATTCAGTAGGCTTTTCCATGAAATATGTACCTACCTGTAAATAAAATGGCAAATTCCTGTTAATAATTATATTCAGGGAAATCACTAGAACTTTACATTGTACCTGTACTCATATAGTACCTAAATGGAATTATGGAAATTTTTAACCATTATTACGTGAGTAAACCGAAAACTCAAGTGTGGGAGAGCCATGCTTCGGCATGAATGGGCCAGCTCGACCGGAGTGATACCACGGCCTCACAGAAAACCGACGTGAAACAACAATGTGTTGTGTTTCGTCGTATGAGTGAGGTTACCGGATGATTAGGTTACCCCCATCTCTTTCCCCAATCCCAGAATCCCCAACAATCCTCAAATTCCTGATTCTAAAAGGCCGGTAACGCACTTGTAACGCCTCTGGTGTTCCAGGTATTCATGGGCGACGCCGATTGCTTACCATCAGGTGATCCGTCTGCTCGTTTACCGGCCTATACTATAAACAAAAAAATAATAATTTAGTATCGATGAAATACTCAAACGTCACTCAATTTTAAGTAGCGCTTAGGTGTAATTCTGTCATTAAAAATTCTCCGTAAATGATAGAGATGGCACGATATTTAAGTACAACGTAAAATTGAGTAGCCTTTCAGTATTCGGGAGCCGTCTCATGAACGTTTTAATATAGACCATTATTACATTACATTTTTGCATGTAATTGTTTCTCTCACAAACTCTAATCTAATCTTCTTTCGTGTGTTTGTTTATTACATCGTTGTAATATAATCATCATAATAATAAATTAACGTGATTATGCGCGGACATAATTGTAGACTAGCTTCCACCAATGGCTTCGCCCGCGATTACCCTATCTGTTACTCCAGACCACAATCCACCCCAGTTACAAATTTCATCCCTTCCCTTCGATCGTTTTGACTTCATTGAGTGACAAACACACAAACTTAAAAACCTTTGCGTTTATAATATTAGTAAGATATACCCAGAATATAGATAGCTAGAAATGAAGCCTTCAATAAGGGATTCTAATAGAAATTAGGTTGGTTGTTTTAAAAAATTAATATTGTAATAATACAAAGTAATTTTCGGAGGAAGGCTCCTCGTAAATTAATCAAAAAGTACTTAAGTGGTCCATAAACATTGTTACTACTGTATAGTGTAAAAATTACAATGTTCCTTATTGTCCTTTGTATGATAAGCTTATCAACATAGAATGTCGACATTTACCATTTTGCAAGATTGGTACTTAGAAAAACGGTGGGCGCAAATACCGCCTCTGATAAATAATGTGAATTACCATTTTACAAACATTTTCCGTGTTCATTCTACAGTTGTATTGGTGTCAAATATATTTAAAACTATGTAATTATTAAACTTTCTGAATCAAATGGTGTAAAGATATTTCCACCTTAATATAGTCCTAGATCCTAAAATAATCAGAAATAATTTATCACATTTTTTTAATCTCAGTAGTAGCACGGAGTCTGGAATTGTGCCCGGTATACGTCAATAGGCTCACCGCCTATTACATGAAACTCATAACATAAACAGTGAAAAGTGGGTGTTACATTGTAAGTACAGTGGCATTCAGAGCCGTAGTGTGCACCTCTGTCTACCTCTTTGAGGATAAAAAGGCGTGATGTAATATTATGTTAATTTATCACAACCATCAAATCAGTACAAGAAAATTACAAACCTTATGCCAAATACCAAGCACATACAAAACCGTACAGCGTTATTAAAATAACTTTAATATAAAAAAAAACCGAAATATAACCTAAAATTTTGTATTCATTCAGCACTTACAGACTTTATTTAGTTCAGTAGATATATCTGCGACTGCGACACATGTGAAAGTCAAAGTACGAACTTAATATAAGTCTACTTACTATAGCAGTTAAGCTAGTCTTTATTTGTACAAAAAGATAATTTATGTCAAATATTTAATTTATCAACAAAAATAATCATACCATAATAAAATATGATCGTCCACAATCGTAGGTTGGATTAAATAGTGCCAACATACTTTGGATTGCTATCAAGCATCAGTTTTTTTTTGTTCTCAACTCAAATGATTTTTATCAAAGTTATCGAAACACTCGATCTATCACTGAACATCATGTTGTAATGGAAACAACGGTATGCCTGATTAGGTACAAGCAGCGTGCATTAACATCGATATGATATTTTTTAATAATCTTATCAAATATAGCAATTTCTTTACATCCTTTGTGCTATTTTATTTTTTCACTTTAGATCGCACATTAACATCCATGAGATATTATATTATTTGCCGCATTGATCTAGGTGTCTTAAGAATTGGATATTTTGAAATTTGTAGTTAACTGTCTAGTCTAGCAGGCGAAAAATTTTAATATGAAAATAAGACCTGGCCCCTTGCTCTTTGTTCTATTGATTAAAAATGAAATGCGAAAAAATTTTATATGTTTCCAGTATTTGCACTTTTCTTTTTTGCCTTTTCCCACCATTCTTCACCAAAGACTAGAAAAAATGGCAATGTTTTCTTTTCTAGTTACTGAGCAATTATCATCAGATATGTGATAAAAATTTCTTAATTTTCAGCGGGCATAGAAGAACTAGATGAATTCAACGAATCACCTCACGTGGTACACAGCGACACTGTGGCACTCACCACGGCCGAATGCATCAACGCAGACGACGAAGAAATCATATTTACCAGAGCAGCACACAAAAATGGCACCGCCTTCTCATAGCAACACCAACAAACTTGAGAGGATACCGTCATATAACGTTCAGGGCACAACCCTCGAATGAATGAAATTATGAATTTACACGATCGAAATTATTTACTAATATTGGTCTCATTTAATAACAATCTGTCTCCAATATTTATGTGGTAAATGTCTTGTGGATTGTGTCGATTTAATGCTGTGAATGTAAATTTGTAAATCGAATGGAGTTTTATGAAGGAGTGATAGAAAATCGAATATAAGGGCTGTATGCACATATGGCCGATAGTAAATTTTAAATTAATGTATCCTGCTGTGTGATATTCAAGTACATTGATTCCTTAATGAAAATCGTTGAAAGCACAAAGTAATGGAGGTAAACTAATATTACATAGTTATATGTAAGGGAAATACATAGTTCCGGTCTCAAAGCGACCGTGTCCATGTGTCAATTAACAAGTTTATTTATTTTCTTGTTTCAAGATTATAATGACACACTAAGAGTGAAGTATCACAAATGTTTTATGTGCCAACGATTGAAACGACTATTATGCAATATGGAGAATATTATTGCAAGATACCTATAAATGTAAGAGTATTCGTAATCATTGTGTCTTTGTGAAAAATGTCTGAATTTACCAAAATATATTTAAGAAAATGAGTGTTTAAGTGCTGTTAAAGTTGAATGGATATTTTCATGTTGTTTGAATTGGTTTGTATTGTTCTGATGCACTTTTGGATTGTTCGTCTCACCCATATCTTGGTACTTATTTACGATTTACTTAAATTGTTTGTTATTAAAACAATAAAAGCACGGTGATTCTGGATGTACCTGAGTATAGTAAAATTATAATATTTGCGTAGTAGCACTAATATACTTACGTCCAGTTTCAATAACCTATCTATCTGTAGATTTGTTTACTAGAGATAGAATTTTGACTCTTTTTGTATGGAGCTCATATCAAAATTCTATCTCTAGTAAGCAAATCTACAGATAGATAGGTTATTGAAACTGGACGTTTTACAAATGCACTGATTAATGTAATATAAACCGCGCAACAATCGAAACAGAATCAATATTAGTTTTTATGACATTGTTTTAAAGTTGCTTTTGCTTTAGCCATAAAATGAAATTAGTAAAATATTCAAAAAATCAGAACGTACAAAATTGTATTACCGTTTGGTTGGTATTAACTATTAATGTATTATTTCGGAATGAGATCGAATAATGTTGATACGGGTCGGTGTTAAATGTTCGCTAGTGAAATCGAATTCTTATGAAAAATTGCTGATACATTTTGTATACAAGATACTAAATAGATACTTGAATATAACAAATAGATTCGTGATGTACAGTGACTTTTAGAAATGTTAAAGTACAATTAGATCTCAAATTGATGTTATCATTGTGATTTTTATAAAGAAATGGGCAGCTGAGTTATATTTTTGTCAATGTCTAAATTTATTTGCTTTTCATGTTAGCTGTCTAGTTATTATGTATGTATAAATTATTTAAATGAATCGCCAAACCAACTAAATTAAATGAACACAAAATTAAAATTATTAGGTCAAGGTAAAATTGCTTCTGATGCATTCTTTTTAGCAATCTTTAGAAATTAAAAATCTAGGAGAGCATGCTCTTTAAAAATTCTAGAATAGTTAGATTCGAGCATATGTTTTCGTAATAGAGGTGGTAAATACATTTCTTTATTCACAGATGTAATTTGTTTTCAGCATGCTCTTTATACTCTATGTCTTAACATTATTGTTTTAAACATAATGTCGTGTCAACGTAGCGTAAGATTAGAAATGCTAGTGATGTACCTATATTTTATTTACAAAAAATAATTTTAATCGATAATTTTTGTTATTTTAATAAATTATATGACATTAAGATGAAGATGTACCGCGTAAGTATGACATCTTAGGGTTATACTTTGTAAAAACGATTAAGAGAAGTTATTATTTTTGCGGTTAGTCAATACAGAGTTGTTTCTAACGAAATATCTGATGGAAGTAAAACTGGATTTTTAATATAATATGATTTTTCGCAAACACGTTGCTTACCGTGTAATAATGACCAAAATGTTTTATACCACAGTTTTACTAAACATTTATACGTCTTGCCGAATATTTTATTCACTTTTATCTTTAGTGTGATTGAATATAGTTAATGTTGTGTATAAATCTAATACATCATACATAAGCACGTCTGATAAGCGTTTGCGAAAAAGAAGCTCAATTAATTATTTTATAATTACATTAGTTTGAAATTCATCACAAATAAAATCGAAAAAAAAAAAACATAATAATGTTTTTATAACGTAACACGCGTCGTTGACTTGAACAAAGTTTTGATTTATATGAACAATAAAAGACGCGTCCGTCTAGCATGATATTTAAATGGGGGCTGTATTTTTGTTTATCAGATGGCACTAGTGTAAACCTCTCGTTTTTCGTCCAATAGGGAATTAGCTAGTGTCACACCATTGGATGTTCAATATTTGACAGCTGCTGTGATTGGACAAAAAAACCCCTTGGTACATTTGCACCATATGGTGAATAAAATAATGGTAGCCCCCATTATAACCGTGGTGATTATAAAGTATTCATTTTTTTAATCTCTAGCCTTATTAAATAAAGTTGAAACGTTGAAGAACCACACGCCCAGCTTTTCGTTTAATTACTTTGGTTTGATGTTTAATTAATTAATCGTAACAGCTCACGGGCGCGCCCACTTGTATGTACATTTTAATAACAGAGTATGCTGCGAGTCATGTGTGTGTGACTAAAATGGAGCTTATTTATTTTTTTAAAGAATTTTAATGATTATATGGACTAAGTTAAATCACATAAACTGTTTATATAACAATCTGTATGTGATGTGAGAAATGCAACATAATGATTCCTTGTTTTTATAATAACTATCGTGAGACATACTAAATTAAGTAAAAACGCGGGTTACTCACGTGAATATACTGAGAAAAGCTCTACTAGTTTCGAACCGCAGTCAGTGAGCTGCGCGACGTCGCCGCGACCGCGCACGCTGCTCATGAGGAAGAACCCCTCTGTGGTTCGAAACTAGTAGAGCTTTTCTCAGTA